ACGCACTACAGTGATGCCTTGGTCACATTGGCCTCGATCGTACCACCACTTGTTTTCAAGTTTTTTCAGCTCTCCCCGTTCTTGTAAGGCCAAGATCGCCAGGTTGATGTGATCCTTCCAGTCCGAGCCGAAAGGGGTAGCCACGCCATAGCCTATGCTGTTAAGGTTCGCTCCTACAAAGCTGTGCTGTAGAACTGTGACTTCCATGCACGAATTGCTTACCCACCTACTTTCATCGTGTCGCATGGCTTACGAGTGTTCTCGTATTCGTTTGCAGTGGCTTCGAGAAGAAATGCATACCTGCCTTTGTGGCTTCGCACCCGTTCTATACCTTCTGCATAACTTGATACAAACACTGACGGCACTTGTGACTCCATGTAACGCCACATTCTTTGATAGATCTGCACTGATGAATACTGAAATTGCATAACACCTCAGATCGTATTCACTACATGTCTTTATGTAAAAGGTGGTTATTTGGGGAAAATTCAAGGTGTTAAGGATTGAATAAGGACGATACAAAGCGTCATTTGTCAATTATCACCAAACTTCAACTTATATTAATTTGAAGCGTGAATTGAGGGAACATTTGACAACATTTATCACACCTGCCCGTTCTATAGCAATCTTAGTAGAACTGAAGGTTGAATTCGCAAACATTCCTTCAAAGATATTGCTTTGAAGATTAGAACCAGACTCCCTCTTTCGTTCCTTCCTTTTACGTCATTTTCAGAGGATAACAGCTGTTGCCATAAGATTTTCTTGCCCCTATGTCGCGGGTTGGAACATTTTTTAAAAAATTTACCGAAATTGCTATTATGGAAGAATTGAGGAAAGAATTGGAACAACTCGACATATGCATGTTAAAATAGGGTTGCAGAAGTACGGCTTGTGGAAACTTATTTTATAAATACTTCTCTTCCTTGGGTTATAATCTCTTTTACCAAAGAGCATACAAATTATGCGTTAATTTGCAAAATTGATGAATTTCGCGGACTAGCTATCAATCAAGTGTATCATATGTACTGTTCTCGACTATTAGCCGAAATGCATTTAGCAGATATGCGAGTAATCAATGTTGTTTCAAACATTTAGTGCAAATTTGTCATCCATATCTACGTTTTGAATAAACTGTATGCGAATTTCCTTTCCTAAAGTGCGTATATGATCGACTTGTCATCTAGCTGATTCCAAATTAAAAAGTTTTAGAAAGCTCCTACCGGGATTTGGAATCTAAAAGTGAGGTTTCATTGTTGTTTTATTGTGGGATTAAGCTTCCGAGCAATGAATGAGGGATATACGGGACTTCTTTTAGAGAGTTTTCGGACATGAAGAGTAGCCTTAGATTTAGTGTAAATGCTGCTATAAAATGTTCTTTACAAGCGATACATCAACTCAAGCTTTCCTTGGAAACATGGAATGTAAAAGATGGGGCTTCAACTATGGATATTGCAGAATTTACCTTAAAAAATGAAGCAGTCGATCCTCCACCTTGTATTCCATACTTGATCTTCGTCTGTTTTGCAAGGTCTTCCACACTCTCAATGGGAGCTTGCATTTTCTCCAAAGTCAAAAACGCAGCGAGGTTGGCAGTGTATGAGGACACAATGATCATAGTGAAAAACCACCAAGCCGAAGAGGCTATTCGGCCAGATATGGATCTAAATGTGGGATTTGAAAGCAACATTAGGGAAGAGAAGCATCGTTTACCTCGGTAAAATGTCCGTTCCTTGTTGCATGAAAGCAGCCAAAGTAAACCAAAGACAGTTATAAACTGAAAAGTCATTGGAAATTGTAAATCCGCCCCTTGCAGTTTCCTCTACCCTCCATTCATATGGAGAAAATCGGGACACCAAGAAAATGACGACGGATACCTTGAAGGATCGTTCTATAAGTTTTATTGTTTCGAAATTTTATGGTAAACTGCTTACGCCAATGTATGCGAAAATAATATACATCCAAATTTCTGTACTTAGGGGTTGCATGAAAGAAAAGACTGAAAATTCTTGTTTGTCTGGCTTTTTAATCATGATCGAGATGCCAGTTGTCATAAATGGCTTGGAAAAATCGACCACACGTTCGCGTTCCTGAATTACATTATTGAGTATTCGATCTTGTTTTGGTCGCTGTTTACCTGATTAATGGTTAACGATGCCACAGCAACATCCGCTTTGCCATTTAAGAGGTCTCCCATCATACCATCCCAACTTCCATCTGGCAGCTTTGAACCTGTCTTTTCTCCGAGATAAACCTCGAAATTGAATCCGTCAATGCGATCAGCCAGTAGCTTCAGCAAATCCATGCAATATCCTTCGTACTTATTGTTGCCCTCACACTCAGTGCGATTGTTCGGCTCCATGCATTCACGTTTTGTCATCACGAACGGCGCCACCTAAAATCAAGGAAGTACCTTCAAACATGCTTTGATCAAAACTGGGGTTCGTATGAGTCCATGAGAGAGAAGTTTTTGATTGGGATATATACATCCGTCTACTTTTCTGCAAAAAAATTGATCAGTTGTTTCAGTGTAGACTTGCAAACAGACTGTGTTTTTTCACAAGGTTTGAAATATGAAAAGCCTTTTCGATTCCAAAAGCTTACGGGATGTGTGACCCAATCTATAAAGCATGATAGCTCTAAAAACTAGAAATAGGGTTTTTGCAGCTCAATATTGGAACTGAAATATTGTATTTTGTATTAATTTTAACTCAAGTTTGAACTTCTGGAAAGCTTGGTTTTATTCTTGAAACCGAGCCCTGATTTTATTATACTCGAAATTTTCGGTTTCCGAAGTATTCTCGAATAGATAGCTTGCTATATC